GCCACCTTTGAAAAAAAAAGATTACAGCTATAAAAATTGTGCTTCCCAAATTCAAAATGGAGTTATAACGTTCCTGGGGAGGATTAAAGTGTCTGTATTTTGTTATTATAAGCTACTAGCCCATAACCCGGCGTTGCTCAGGTATTTATTTATAGGGGGGAAATGTCCGGACCAAATGTAATTTCTAATGTTGGATTTTCCCCCCTTACCAGAGGGAGTCCCCTTGTGGAGTACTGTGGAGCTGTTACCATGGCAACACCATTGCTCTGTACATTAGAAGCCATTTTAAGGCACAACAGGCTGTATCTTAACGCATACCCCAAGGGGTGTTAGGGGTGTGTTACCCACAGAGTTTGGTTGAAATTGCTCAAGGCATTCCAGAGTTATGCTGGATCTCTCCTCTCAAAAACTATGGTTCGTTTTTATGGTTTTCCGCCCTTCTTTTGATTCTTGCAACAAACTTGCAGGGTTGATTAAGCAGAACAATTGAGATTTTTAACCTGGATTTCTCTAGTTCCAGATAAACACTTTCTCTGATTTCTCTACTCTTCAGTCAGCTTCTAGAGGAGAAAATAACTTTTATTCCTTTTTCTTAAATGCCTTGCAGTTTTTATCTCTCTCTCCTAATTAAGGTGAACCAAGAAATTAATTGTGTTCTTGTTGCTGTGAGCCAAGGAGTTTTTTTTAAATCAAAGCCTCCGTCTCTGTGCTTAACCAATTCATTAAAAATACAAATTCAAACAAGCCCAAGGTTTGCATCAGATTTTAACTGGAGCTGTCTTTTAAAAGAAAAGAGAGAGAGATTTTTATGGATTGGCCCTGTTGCTGCTAACAATCTAATCCAATGAGCACAATTGAAATTGTGCACTGGTTTTGCAAGATTCTTCATCCCCCCTCCGCCCTTTCTCGGGGTCCCAAGGGAAATTAAAATATCAGAGCACAGCAGAGATTCATAAGGAAGGCAGAAGTTTAGGCTTATATTCCAATATTCAACATTTCTGCTTCTTTCTTTCATTCCTCCAGCTGTCAGCATTGATGCAAGCATGAACCACATACTTCCAGAACTTTGCCATAGGGTCTAGAAACTTGTACTTTTAAAAAAAAGATATACATGTGGCTGTTTTTAGGGATCTGTGGCCAGTTTTGTATTCTACCTTTTTTTTTTAAAGTAGATAATTGGAAGAATAATTATTACTAACTGGTTATCGTAGCTGGAATTTGAACCTGTTCTGTTTGGTCGTAGCTCTGTGTTGCTTGAGTACACAGACACAAATAGGCTTTTTATAACTTGGGAATCAAGCCAATCGTGACTTCTTTAATAATTATTTTAGGAAACTATGGCTCCACAAATCATGAGCTTAACCCTTCCCCTCCTCTCTTTGCATGGGCCCGGAGAAGTTTCAAATAAGCAACGTTAGTGCTGATTTTTTTCCCTTTTCTTTAAAAAGTATTTAGTTAGTTCCTACATGTGCAATTAACAAGACCATCTTTAATGTTGAAAATATATATTTTTTTTTAAAAAAAGTGAAGGAAAATAAAAGTATCTACTTTGTATTTTAGATAAAACTTATCGGTTTATTAATAAAGCTTCCTTTTCCATTTGCCCCTTTTTAGCAAACAGAGGGGTTCAAAAAACGCTGGTTTACTATGGATGACAGAAGATTAATGTATTTTAAGGATCCTTTGGTAAGCCTCCTCCTCTTCTTCTTCCTCCTCTTCTTCCTCCCCCTTCTCCTCCTCCTCCCCCCCCCCTCCTCCTCCTCCATCATTCCACAAACCCTACTCCAGGGGTGAAATCCAGCAGGTTCTAGAGAACCGGTAGGGGAAATTTTGAGTAGTTCGGAGAACCGGCAAATACCACCTCTGGCTGGCCCCAGGAGTGGGGAGGGAATGGGGATTTTGCAGTATCCTTCCCCTGCCACGCCCACCAAGCCACGCCCACAGAACCGGTAGTAAAAAAAAATGAATTTCACCAATGCCCCACTCCCTTCTAGGACTGATGATGTTACCTAGCTTGGTCATGAAACATCTGCAAGAAAACCACCAAGGTCACAGAGCACTAAGGCCCCCCACAGTCCTCCTCTGCCTTCCCCCCCACAAACACCCATCCCTTCTAGCACTGACTATGTTACCTAGTTGGGTCATTAAACATTTGCAGCTCAAAAAGCATCAAGGACCTCACAGTCTTCCTCCTCCTCCTCCTGTCTGCAAACCTCACTTCCTTCTAGGACTGATGATGTAACCTTGTTGGGTAATGAAACATCAGCAAAACAACACCCAAGCTCAGAGAGCACCAAGGACCCCTCAACACTCCTCCTCCTCCTCCTCCTCCTCCTCCTCTTCTCCATAACTCCACTCCCTT